ATTTCTTATTCAACATAAACGGCCACATACAAGTATATATAGAATAGGAAACTTGGAGGGCAAGACCAAATAACCTAAAAGATATGCACAATATATTCTAAGATATATATCCCCAAATATTCACAATATTATCTTTCCTAATACCCACCCTCAAGTTGGAGAGTACGGATCCCGGACGCCCAACTTGCGCAATAAAAACTGGAATTTAGCTTTTCCCAAAGCTTTTGTAAAAATGTCGGCCAGCTGAACCGTCGTAGGAACATACGAGGGTATTATCGTCCCATCTGTAATCGCATCACGAACAAAGTGACAATCTGACTCAATATGCTTTGTTCGTTCATGAAACACTAGATTCTGCGCAATATAAAACGCAGACTGACTATCACAATAAAGATGCATCCCATTCTCATGTCGAACACCTAAATCACCAAGTAATCGGTTTAACCACTTTAATTCACAAGTCGTTGCATTCATACAACGATATTCGGCTTCCGATGAAGAAAGGGCCACAGTAGACTGGTTCTTGGTTTTCCATGATACTGGAGACAAACCAAGAAGCACAAACCAACCACTCAAGGACCGTCTAGAGAGAGGACAACCTGCCCAATCTGAATCACACCAACCTTCCAACTGTAAAGCCCTATCAGATCTCAATAAAATGCCCTGTCCCGGACTCTTCTTCAAATATCTAACAACTCGCAGAGCTGCTTCCCAATGGTCAATCCTGGGTTTTTGCATAAACTGTGATAAAATGTGTACAGAATATATGCTAAATTGGGTCTCGTAACAGACAAATAAATCAGACGACCTATGAGGCGACGATATTTCTCAATATCATGAAAATACTCCCCCTGAGATAAAGCTAACTTGTGATTTTGTTCCATAGGGAACTCTGCAGGTTTAGCATCAAGCAAACCAGCTTCAGTAATAATATCCAGTGCATACTTCCTCTGACAAATAAAAATTCCATGTTTATTCCGGGCTACCTCTAGCCCCAGAAAATATTTCAACACTCCAAGATCTTTCATCTTGAAACAATCTCCCAGATACGATTTAAAATTGAGCATAGCATTTTTATCATTGCCTGCAACAATTAAATCATCAACGTATACTAACACATTAAGCTGCATTTTACCTTTTGTCAGAGTAAATAAAGAATAATCATAGTATGACTGTTTAAAGCCATAATTTTTCAAAGCTGTAGCGAGCTTTGCAAACCAGCATCGAGGAGCTTATTTAAGCCCGTACAATGATTTCAGCATCCTGCTAACTTTGTCAGAATTGTCTTTCTCAAAACCAGGAGGGATTTTCATATGTACCTCTTCTTCCAAATCACCATGAAGAAAAGCGTTATGAACGTCCATTTGATGAACTTCCCAATTTTTCACCGCCGCTACTGCAAGAAAAGTTCGAACAGTCACCATCTTCGCAACTGGAGCAAATGTCTCATTGTAGTCTAACCCTTCAACCTGATGATTACCGAAGATGACTAATCTTGCTTTTAATCTCTGCAAATTCCCATGCTCATCATATTTTTCTTTGTAAACCCATTTGCTTCCAAGTGCCTTTTTGCCCGGTGGAAGTTTCTCTAGCACCCAAGTGCCTTGCTCTTCTAGAGCCTGGATCTCATCCGCCATTGCTTTCCTCCAACCCTCGTGTTTCATGGCCTCCCTGAAAATTTTGGGTTCATTTCCACCTGTAATAGCAGCAATATATGTTCTATGCTTCACAGAAAACCGGTGAGAATCAATAATATGTGTTATAGGGTAAACAGTACCTGAGGAAAGTAATGTCGTAGGTGAACGCTGAGATGATGTAGATGGACTTTTATTTCTTATTGTGTGTGTCACAAAGTCACGGTGCTTCACATTCGAAAATTTCTGTCTCATGCCTTTACCCAAGGCTTCGGTCTCACTTGAGATGTTACTTTGATCACCCTGCTGCACAACATTCTGCTCACTTAGAGCAGTTTGCTCACTGCCATTCTGCTGCCCAGCATGCTCTTCTGTGCTGCTGCACTCATCTGCCGCACCAGAGCGCACAGAAGAGGGGCTGGCAGGCTCCTACGCAGCCTGGTCGCGACCTGTGGGCTCCTGCTGCAGCCCAGTCGTGGTTCCCCCTGCTGTCCCCGCAACACCATCAGCTCTCACACCTCCCTCGTGCTCCATATCATTTCCCTCACCATTCACATTCTCTGCCACACACCACTCATCATCACTCACACTCCCAACATCACGAGTCAACAAGGCATTCATCAAATCTTTGTTCATACTAGAAGCAATGAACGGGAATTCACTCTCATTAAAAATCACATCCCTTGAAACAAAAATTTCATGGGTCTCTAAGTCATAAATCTTCCACCCCTTTTTCCTGAAAGGATATCCTATAAATACACACTTTCGGCTTCGACTCGCTTATCACCCTTAGTTTTTAGATTGTGCGCATAACACAAACACCCAAACACCCGAATATACTCATATGAAGGTGGTTTGCCAAATAACACATCACAAGGGGTTTTATAATCAAGCAATCGAGAAGGAGTTCTATTAATTAAATGACATGTCGCTTGCACACACTCCCCCCAAAATTTTAAAGGTAAATTTGCTTGAAAACGTAAGGCTCTAGCAACATTCAAAATATGTTGATGTTTTCTCTCAACACGCCCATTTTGTTGAGGCGTGCCCACACATGAGGTCTCAAAATATCCCATTGTCAAAAAAATACTCTTTCAAGGAATTGAATTCCGTACCATTATCACTACGGACCACTTTAATTTCTTGAGAAAATTGACGACGAACAATCGCAACAAAATCAAGAAACATATACTCAACTTCCGTTTTATTTCTTAACAAATAAGTCCACACACCCCTAGAGTAATCATCTACTATAGTAAAAAAATAATGAGCACCACAAGAAGATGGAGTCTTGTAAGGCCCCCATAAATCTAAGTGAACAAGCTCAAAAATTCGACTTGCTTTATTTTGACTCAAAGGGAAACTACTCCTATGCTGTTTTGCCCGAGGACACACATCACATGATTTAAATTTAGTACTACTACGACTCACAAATGGAAGCTGTTGAAGTACTTTACCCGAAGGATGCCCCAATCGTTTATGCCACAACTCTGTGGAATGATCCCCGTCTATCTTCATCGCCTTCACCATAGGAACACCCCGAAAATAATAAAGTCCATCTAGTCGTTCACCTGCTCTAATCACGTTCCTCGTTGTGAGGTCCTGTATAACACAAAGTTTGTTAGTAAATTGCATAATACAATTAGATTCGTCACTCAATTGAGTCACCGAAATTAAATTGCAATTTAATTGGGGTACATAAAGAACATTGTCGATTTTTAAACCCCCTTGCAATATCACCGATCCAATTTTTGATGCGTTAGCATTTTTTCCATCCGGCAATCCCACCGGACAATGGCTCACATTGGTCACATCGGTCAAAAGAGACAAATCACATGTCACATGATTCGAGGCCCCTGTATCTATTATCCAACCCAAATCATTTTTATCATGAAACTTGGATTTAATGGATGTCAAGTAGTCTAACAATTGTTGAACTGGAATCGAAGTCACTCCCGCAAGACCACCCACATCAACGTGTGCGGCCTTCACCAAATTCTGATCACCATCCATCAATGGAATCACAAATAATAGTCACTCACAGGTGCTTTGAGAAGAAAAATAAATTAAATGATGTTTGTGAACTCTCACAATCTCTCAAGGTTATGCGTAATAATGAATATTACGTATAATTGCAATTTCTAGTAAATTATTGTTGGATCAAACCTAAGCTCTTGATACCATGATAAAATATAATGAATAATTCTCTCTGTATTTCTCATTCAACATAAACGACCACATACAAGTATATATAGAATAGGAAACTTGGAGGGCAAGACCAAATAACCTAAAAAATATGCACAATATATTCTAAGATATATATCCCAAATATTCACAATATTATCTTTCCTAATAACTTGCATCTATAGCTTCTTCTAGTCTTACTTTCTTTCCACTTTGTAATTGTTAAAATGTTTTAGCCCATGTAAAAAAAATAAAAAAATAAAAAATAAAATAAAAATAAAAATAAAAATAAACTATGTAGTTCACTAGTTTTTATTCATCACTTTAGAGTATTAAACTTTTAGATGCTTTTGTACTTTGTATTCATCAATATAGAGTATTAAATTTCATAGTCTTTTTAATAGAGGGAGTATGTAAAAGACTATGAAATAGGAAGTATATGACACTAATATCTCAAGTCATAATTACAAAAAAAAATATATACGTAATATATAAAGTTGATATTTTGAAGTATATCTCATGAATTATCGTAACAAATTCTCATGAAAGTATATTTTTTCAACACATAAATGATAAATCACTATGTGCTTAAGTAGGAAGTGTGTGCGAGTATAGTGTAAAGATCGATCATATACTATGTATATGATTAGTCGATTACGCACAATTGCAAAACTTATAATTATACGCGCAATTGTCAATTTAGGTATTCGAATCGGGTTTGGTTTGGGTTAAATCAGGTCTCGAGTCATATTCATGTCAAATTGTCAAATCACGTCAAGTCAATTTAGCCTCTAGTTCGCGTCGAATCAAGTTTGCATTTTGATTGTGTTGGGTCGTTTATCCTTTCGGGTGTAGCCCAAGTTTGGTTCGACTTAATTTTGAATTTTGTTTTATTCCGAGTTTAAGAATGATCAAAAGAGTTTGGTTTGGATAGAATATAAAGCGGGTAAATATAGGTTCAGGTTATGTTTTGGTCACATCAATACACATGTTGTGTCGTGTTATAAATAATTTCAGATTTGGATCGGGTCAAGTGCTAGTTTGGGTTCAAATCATAGTCGAGTTAGCATAAATAAGTTACCAGTTAATATCAGCTCGGGTGCAAGTTTGGGTTAAGGTCATTGAGTATCACGTTAAATCAATCATTGGTTAATATCTTAATATCAGGTTGGGTTCAGGTCAATTTTCGAGTCATTGCTAGTCCGTATCAACCATTATTCGGCCATATGTCTGATTCAGATCATTGTCGATTCAGGTCTTCACAAATTTTGACACCTCTTTTACCCCGCAGTTCCACACATACACCCAAGTACTCAACATATAAAATCAGCATCTCCTTAAAAAAAAACCTCGAATTCAGCCAACAATGGTGACACGAAGATTAACAGAGGTATCAACCAGCGACGACGAAGGAGCTCCCAAGCCCTCCAGCAGCGACGAAGACACCATCCCTTTGCACAAACGCCGCCATCGCCGGAGTCGCACCAGCAGCCGCCGTGCGCCGCCACCACCACCTCCTAAGCGCCGGAAAAAGGTGCAAATTCCCGACGAAGATGAGGATGAAGATGAACTACTTGAAGAAGAAGCCGGGAATTTAGAGAAGGAAGTTGAGGAAGATGATGATGAAGAGGAGGAAGAAGAAGAGGAGGAGGCTGTTCAGGAAGATGCTAAGCCTATTGGTGATGTAATTAGGGTTTCTGGGAAAGGTAGAGGTCAGAAGAAACATTATAAGGAGTTTGAATTTGATGGTAATCGTTTTGAGCTGGTGAGTTTTGATGTTTCTCTATTTTTTTTTATTTTTTTTCGACATTTTGGTGATAATGCTTTGTAATTGATGTTTGATTTTTTTGAATTTTTGGTTTTTATTTTGGTTGTGTTGAGGAATTGGTGTGGAATTGATGAATGTGTGATTTTAATTGTGGGGGGTTTAGGGTTAGGTTTTACTTTAGTTTTTGTGAATTTGTTTGATTGGTAATCATTGAAACTAATTTTGTGCTGTTTCTTGAAAAAATGTTATTAGGTATTAATGAATTTAGCTTAGTTGATTGATTTGTGGCTGTTTTTGGTCGATGATGATGGATAGACCCAATGGTTTGGAAGAACTAGATGGAATAGAGAGCATTATAGGATAAATGAAGTAGTTTGATCATATTGCTGAGTAATGAGATTAGATGTTATCCCCGGCATTTGAACTTGTTGGCTTGACGAAACATCTCTTGAAGTTTAAAGTGGTAATCTTTGCCATTTTTTGCTGCTTAAAATCTTCATATGTCGGTGTTGTTTACATTAGATCTCTCTTGAGAATTGATGAAGGTTTTGGAATTATTATTTATTGTTGTATTCATGGGGAGTGGTTGTTTTTCTTAGTTTAGGGTGTGTTCTATACAATGTATTTTGTCTGAACTTCTTGCCAATACTTAAAGTTATTGGGACATTTTGCCTGAAGTGAACTTATATATTGTCTGAGATGTCAGATTATGTTGAGTGGAACACACCCTTAGTAAAGATTGTGAAGTCTCTTCCTACCTTCTTCACCCTCTTTTCCGTAGAAAAATGTTGAAATCAAATTTTATTTTCATGTATGTTGTTAATCTTGGATGCAGGAAGATCCTGTGCTATTGACTCCAGAGGATAAGAGTCAAAAGCCTTATGTAGCAATCATCAAGGTAATTTTCTATCACTCAATAGATCTATCTAGTCTGATTACTCTGATATGATGCATTACAATATGGGACGACATAATGCCTTAAATTTTCTTTCCTGCCTTCTAGTGTAGAAAACATCTGGTAACCTATATTATTCATGTAATTCATGTCCAGATGTACACAAACCTACATATATCTTATTTGGACTCAAAGAATATACACAAACCTAGGATATATCTTATTCATGTTCAGTATGACAATAGTCCAGCATTATTGAATTATCACACTGTAGTAGAATCTTAGGAAATCCAAGTGTAATAATTTCATTGTTCTGTTCGTGGGAGTCATTCTTTGTAAATGAATTTCCATGCTCTATGAATCCTGAAATATGGTCAAATGTTCAATTTTTACACAGTACATGATTAATAAGTTCTTGCACCTGCAAGCAAATGAATAGGATCAATTTATTTATTTATTTTTAAAAAAAAGAAATGAAAAAAAAAACTTTTTTTTTTACATTTACCTCAGTGCAACTTCATTATTGAATTTTATATTGATACAGCTGATTGTGTGAATGCAATGTATGGCAATTAGATTTAGCATTTGTTCTCTCCCATCATCAGTGATTTTGATATAAAGATGGGACCCTAGGAGAGTTTTTCCATGTATACACCTGTTTGTCTGTATATTAAATTTCGTTACCATTGGCTGATTTTAATTATCCCATCAATAAGAAATTTATGCAGAATTAGCTAGTAGTTTTAGAGAGGATTGGGCTTCTATTACATGATTATTTTTTTTTTTCCTTCATGTATTTAAGCTCCCCTGCCCTTCTATCTTTAGTCCCTGCTTCTTTGATTCTGCCATGGCACATTCATTCTTCATTGACTTTAAGTGATATATTTCGGAAGTGGCGATTGTGATAACAATGGGGAAGCCAATATTTCAAATTTGAGGGGGCTAAATTTTAATGAAGTTAGTCCAAGGATTATGACATACATATATGATTGCACTTGTTTGAAAAAATGTGGAACTACATTATAAGCAACTCTCTCTCTCTCTCTTTTCCTTATGGGTTACAGCATTATGATAATTGAAATATTTTTTCTTTTTAACAACCAAATATAAAACCATTACAAGGAATTTAATTTAAAAGGTAGCAAGCTTTGTAGGGGCTGAACCCCCCCTAGCTCTCTCTGCCCATGTGTGTCAACATTTGAAGTGATTGGATCAAATGATGGGAATAACATGATTTGATTTCTAGTCTCAACCACATTTTTCCCTATCTGATATTTTATGATTAATACCTGGTTCTGAAAGTTTCATCTTTTACCTGTCCTAACCTTAATAAACTCTTGCGTCTGAAACTCTGCAAAAAGAGAATTTAAAAGGAAGATGTGCTGTTGTGACATGTCCTGTTTTGTGTGAAATGCAAAGCTTAACTGCTTGATAGAACTTACCTCTTTAAACCATATATCTGGTGCAGGAAATAACTCAGTCCAAAAATGGGAACATGATGGTCACTGGACAGTGGTTCTACCGTCCTGAAGAAGCTGACCGGAAAGGTGGCGGAAGCTGGTTAGCTCGTGATACAAGAGAGCTTTTTTATAGTTTCCACAGAGATGATGTTCCTGCAGAGTCTGTGATGCACAAGTGTGTAGTCCATTTTGTGCCATTAAATAAGCAGCTGCCCAACCGCAAACTACACCCTGGCTTCATTGTACAGAAGGTGTATGACACTGTGGAAAGGAAGCTATGGAAGCTCACCGATAAAGATTATGAGGACGGAAAACAGGAGGAAATTGATGTCTTGGTGCAGAAAACAATTTCCCGTCTTGGTGAGCTTCCTGACATTGAGATAGAGGAAATTCCTCCAGCTTCGTTGGAAGAGCTTGTAAAAAACAAGCGAGCGCTGAAGAAGCGGCACCTATCTCCAGTAGATGTGTCAAAGGTGGATGAAGGGTCACTTAAATCTCCCAGAGTTGAGACCCCAGGTAGCTGTGTTGCCAATGCATCCAAATATTTCTCCATCTTGGCTGAAGCAAAGGCACTGACAAAGGAGATGCAGCGAGATAAATGGTTGGAAAAGCTTCTCCAAGGAGTTGAGTCTGTATGTTCTTCAACTGACAATTCTAACGTGGATAAGGAATTTCGAGAAGAGAGTACGAAGGTATGTATGCTCTTCGACCGACTACTATTTGAGATTTGTTCACACCCTTAGTTATGGGTGATAACAAGCAGAATTAGAGCTTGAGCTTAGGATTTGTACTTGAGCATTTTGAGCAAAATTTATTCAAGTTTGGTTCGTTTTATAACTCCAATTAGTAATCCCTGACCAAGCAATTAATATTTCAAGCTATAATATCCATATTTCTAATCGTTTTATTGTACATTTGTGCTCTTATATATTCATCAGCACTTTGTTACATCTATATTTTCTCAGAAGTTGTCACTCTATTTTATTTATTTATTTATTTATTTATTTATTTTTCAGAGTATTTTTCTAATTTGTTTTATGTATTTAATCTTGGTTACTCTTACTAGCGTTTGAGCTGATTTTAGCTGGAATCAGCTTGACTTTCCTAGTTTTTGAGCCCTCCTCAAATTCATTTCAATTTTTGACTAGTTTGATTTATATTTATACTTTTTCTTTGTTGCAATCAAATTATTTCACTATATCCCCTAGTATAATAGTCTTTTTACTTTTGATTTTTTCATATATATATATATATATATATATATATATTTTAAGACAAGATAATAGTATTCACAGACTCCTTATATATTTTTAATCACAGGGTATCAATAGCTTTACATGGCCAGATTCTGCTGTTTCAGCCATTGTAGCTTTGGAGAAGGCTTCACATGAGGCATTTATATCTGATTTTAGCAAATACAACCAGAAGATGAGGCAGCTGTCTTTCAATCTCAAGGTCAGTGTCATATTCTTCTCTCTGATGGAAGTGAGACAGGTCTCTGGCTCTGTACACTTGCTAAGATTTGTTTAATACGAAATTAACCTTCCATGACTTTCAAATTTATGTCTGCACATTTTGATGGTTAGGGTAAATCATTGTCTTTGAAGCTGCAGTTGTGGGTTAGATCTGGTTCTTTGTTATGCATATCAAGATCCTGGTTCCACTGTTACGAGTCATTGCTCTTTTATATGGTTACTTTTGGCAAGTATACCTTCCATGGCTTTCAAATTCTTGTCTGCACATATTGATCCCTTAAGTACAATGAGCATTTACTGAATTTGATGATCAGAGTGAACTATTCTTTATGAAGCTGTAAATGTGGTTAGATCTGGTTGCTTCTAGATGAGGCATATCAAAATCCAGATGGTTCCTCTAATGCGAGTCATTTGGTGGGGAAGGGGGGTTAGAGGTGGGGTGTGTATTTCCTCTAAGATAACTGAGATTAACATTATCTTTGTCTAATTTTCAGGGTAAACTAGCCAGGCGACTGTTGAGTGGAGAATTAGAACCTTCGAAAATTTTGAGCATGACACCGACTGAACTGAAGGTATTTATTAATTTATTGGGTTAATTATGTATGCAAATGTTTACTTCAATCTTGCTTCGGATGGATCACGAGTTTGGGTACCCAAAAAATTTTCCTTTTTTTTTTTTTTGTGGATGATTGAAATGTAATATTTTTCTTTGTTTAGCACCTAATAAGTTCCTTTTTTTAGTTGGCAGATCATGCCTTAAGGGCATAACAAGTGTAACATTGTTGCGGCTTACTACTGATGGACATTTTTCTATTTTGTGCCTATTGAGTGTCAAAATCTCTAATACAACAATTTGTCTACTGAAATTTATTTGCATATAATGTTGATGATACATGTTGATGCTTGAAGTTATATACTTCCTCCGTTCTTTTATTATTGCACCATAAGGGGTTGGCACAAATTTTTTGGTAGTGGAAAAAAGGATGAGAGAGAAAGGTAGAAATACCAAGTTGCCCATGTGATTGTATGCACAAAATAAAAGTAAGGGTTGAAAAGCAAGGGTATATTTGGTATTTATAGTGTGAACACATAAATTTCTTTTCTTAAAATGGATATGGTGCAATAAATGTGAAACTTCCTTAAAAGGTAAGTGGTGCAATATTAAAAAAACGGAGGAAGTATCATTATAATGTGCTCTCAATTCTTATTTTCACTAGAAACTAATTGGAGACTGGAATTATGTCCCCCCTGTTCTCTCACATACATTTTCCCATTCAACTGCGCAGTATAATATCACAGATCCTTCCCCACTTGACCAGTCTAGAGCAGATGTAGGAAATGGACCAAGCTGTCAGTTAATGACTTCAAGCATCTCATTGCTTAAGCTGTCTCCAGTGAAGTAGTGCGCTTTATATTACAAAGGAGCATCTTATGAGATGGAGGAAAAAAGATAAATATATTTTACTTTCTGTGACTGCAAGAGAAAAAAAAAATGTATACAATGAGTCTGTTGGTATTTAAGTAGTATCAGACACTCTTGCTGTTGATACAATTCCTATCTGTAACTGTTATTCACTGGTTTATATTCTGATGTGAACACTAGCTTAACTTTTAAAACAGGTCAATGATTTTTTTATATTTTAGATACATGATTGTGGGGTTTATCTCTGAATATATATTTTCTACCAACTTACTGTGTCAACTCTCTCTTTACAATGCAGGAGGGTTTAACTACAGAGGAAATAACTTGTAATCAGCCTGAGGAGGCAGCAAAAATGCAGGTCAATTTCTTTTGTGTTGGCAATGTGTTAATTGGAGTTTAAGCCAAAGCTTTTTCCTTGCCTTATTATAACGTATAAATATTGTTTCCACATTTGAAATTGCAGATGACTGATGCTCTTTGCAAGAGGTGCAACGTGAGGAAAGTTGGTCTTGTAGATATCATACAAGCAGGTCATGGTGATCGCTATCAGGTCAGTTGATTTCTGTGCTATTGATTGATTATTTAAACTTGTCCTAAAATAAAGCCATCAATGCATTTATAAATATTGTGCTTCTTTCTGTCGATTGTACAAGAATATATTTATAATTTGTGATAAAAAGGTTTGGTCCCTTGTTAATTTTTCCCACACTAAGGAAACTATGTCCTCCTTAGTTTTGCGACTCTTTGTCTATCTTTGATGTAATATGGTGCAGTATTCATTACTTCAATAAATATGAAAATCGAATTGTCAATAGCTTGGTACTAGATTCATGATAATCTGACAGGATAAGACACCTTGAGAATGTTCTTGGTGTTTGGTCATTTTCATTATTGTTCTGTAGTATGCAGGATAAATACAATATATGTTAATATTTAGCGAGTATTGTGAGTGATTTGTGACCAAGTCAGTTGCTGTCGTAAGTTTGACTGGATAGAAGTCACAGAACCATCAAATAGGACTCTTATTTTATCCATGAAGCTGAATAATAACTCAGAGACCTAATTCTTGGAAGCAATTGGATGTTTTTATTGATTATTGGGTAAAGAGATAACAAGGATCAAAGTCCTTAAAAATTACCAGAGTAGAAATTACCATGTCATTAAGAATTGAATGGTTGTGAAGAGGACTCCATATTATTTCCTTTCTAGGGGGTGGGTTTGGAGATAGTGGTGGTTCCCTTTTGTGTGTGTGCGTGTGTGATTGTTTTTTTTGGTGTGGGGGGGGGGGGGGGGGGGTTGGGGGGACAGGGGATTTTGTTTCCAGTCAAATAATGTGGATTTTGCTTGTTTAATTAGTAGGCCTCTTTCCTTAATATTTGTGGATCAACAAATATTCGAAAAGTGAGAAGCAATGGTGACCGGAGAAACAATTGAGAGTTTTAAACTTTTAAAGTAAGGAGGACAAGGGAGGTCAGTGAATCTGGGCTGGGGTTGGGAGTTTGTGGGTTTTATTTATTCAGCCGCATAATTGGAATCAGTTATGGCTTATCTCATAGGTTCATACAACTGCCCACTTGATACCAATTGTTCCGCCAGGCAGGGCCTAAGTAATAGTATACTGGATTTGGACCTTTATTATGCTATAAGCCAATATATGGTACCTATTTATGCTAAATTTAATCGCCATACCTGAAACATATCAGAGGCCTGGTTCTATAAGCGTACATGGAGAAAATGTATGATGTATTCAGTTAGGCCAATATTATTACCTCATTCAGACATCTTTAATGGGTCATATGAGCTCATTGTTTAAATGCCTAGTGTTTACATCCTTCTCTAATAATTGACCATTTTCAATCTGACACACATTGATGAAATGATTAAATGTAGTCAAATGGCTGACTTGCCCCTAATGAATGTTTAGTTTTTGTATGAAAAGTTGCTCATAAATAGCGAGGAAGGATAATTTTGCTGCCTTCTTATAATTTTACCTTGCATTAATGGACACTTGTTTGATCATTGTTTGACAAAATGGCTTCTATTTAGAGAAGAGGGTAGCAATTTTTCGTATTTGACCCTTACTATGAATCCTCACGTTCCCTTGATCTGCTAGCAAATTTTGCCTGATTTGATTTACTGTTAACATTCCTGGATGATTTGCAGTTGGAATGTGTTGCTTGTGGTAATATGTGGTACGCTTCGAGAGACGAGGCAGCGATGCTGACAATTGATGGTCCCAGCACTGGTCCCAGTGTTGGTACTGCACCATGGGCTACATCAAAATTCGAAAATGTAGAGAAAAAGAAGATAATTAGTCCTCGTGATGCAGACAAGGCAGATACGGCAAAGAAAAGCATTGAAGGTTCCACTCCAGTTTTGGAGACTCGGAAATCTTTCAACAAGTCCAAGAGTGATGGCATAACATCTCCTAGAAACCCCAAGTAGCTGCTGTACGGCATCGTAGTTTAGCCCTAACCTCAATTGGACAGAATCATTACTGTAAAGCGTTGTATATATACTACTCCGTGTGATTATACACCCAGAAGGCAGTCCACATAGCCATCAGATCCTTAGTTAGCTAGGGAATATAGAAAGATTGCGAGTCAGGTTATCGGCTCTTCTATTGCAAGAGCAATGACCCTCGGATTCACTGATAATACCATTTAATGGTGTAAAGAAGTAGGTTTATCCTCTTTATGTCTCCTATTTGTTTTAGTACTGTGTTTTTTCTAACCAAACTAATGTCAATTATGTTTTCCATGAATACAGCTGATGTAAGCTGGAGGATGAATGTAATGCGAGTCATTATTTTTTCTACTTGCAAACCACCGTATTTCATTATTTAATTTCACCTTAAATAACTAGGTTGAAATCATTATTTATAATAGGGCTCATTCTTATAAATATATGGTCCCATATATGAGGGGTCCGATTATTAGGTTCTACCCTGCCACTGTCAAGTTGTCCGGGGTTGATGGGACTTTAATTGGAAACTTTGTCAAGTCTTAGTTGTGATTAGCCAATTTTTGGCACATAAATTTTAATGTGTTCTATGATTCTATATTGGATACCCTCTGCCTGAAGGTAACCAACTTTAAATACTGTAACTAAATAGTCATATGTTCTCGTTTAGCTATCCAATCAGCCACACGAATTTCTGATGTGTATAGTCTTAACTTTTAAATAACTTTGTATAGAAGATTTTATGCCAATGTTCATCGATAATGCTCGACCTTTTTCAAATACGGATTAGCTCATTTTCTTCATTTATTCTCATTATAATCCATTACCATCTTGGAGGTGGTATTGTGCGGTAAGTGAATTTATGTAAACAAAAACACAAATTTGTAGATGAAGTTCCATTGACCTAGCATGATCAAAAGCTTTTCCAGTAATAATACAAACAAATTCATTACCATTCCCGTAATTTATGACCACTTACCAAACATGTCATATAAAATTGTACAAGGAATTATGTAGATGCATCTTCATCTTGATGGCAGAATGATATTTGCAGCAGTAATTAATTTCCATATCCAAATTAAGAATTTAATCAAACAGTAATTAAACTGAAATGCACACTTTAAATTAAGATGAATTAATCAATCTGATATAGTTTCATAAATTCACATGGATTGATTCTGGCAAGTGTCGGTGAATGATGGAAAAATAAAATGAAGAGCAATTAGTGTAGTGTACATTATTGGTGCAGATTACCAAAGATGCATTGACTATGTAATGAAATAATTAAGTTTATATTGGGTACTAATTTAATTGTCGTATTCCAAAATACCATAACATCTAAAATTATTGTCAGGTCCCTCAGATTGTCCCAATGTTTACAATAACGCATTGTGATTTGGTCCCCCTCGTTTGTGTCCGCTAGATGCACATTCTACCACTTCTTTATTTATACTACTGCTAACGAAAGATGCATGAATATTCTGGATATGTCATGTAAGATTGATGTGTTATTTATACGGGTCAAGTTTCACTAAAGGCACGTTCAAGATTTTAAGAGTATTTGTTATGTTAGTATGAGAAGCTAGGTAATTAGATCCCAATCGGAACATCAGCCTTCTTAACCATCATAATATGTATTGATTGGTGTTACTTTATGTGCATATTTGAATAGAGAAAAAGATAAAACGAATTTAATTACTGGTCTGTTCTGATTTACTGAACTGATTGAATCTGAACTTGAACTGAACTGAAAGTAAGATGAAGAGAACAAGCTCTACTTCAGTTCATGAAGTAACAATTGGCTTGATATTATAGATAATAATTTAAGTGTTGAAAGGTTAGAGCTAATCATTGATGAATTAAGGTCATTTTATTTTTTGATATATATTTCTACCCAAATTATGAGAAATCAAGGTTGGGTTTTACCAATGACCAATCAAACATACCAAGTATGAAACTATGCATTCGAGTTTAGACAGAAAATCTATTATGTCTCAATTATATGAGGGATACCCAGTAAGTTCTCTAGGGGGTATAATTGTCTTTTCAAGTACCAATGGAGGGGTATATGCGTCTTTTTATGTACTAATTGAGGGGTACATGTGTAATTTCCTCACCAAACAGTAAAAGCAAAAAAGCAAACAGTAATTGGACAGCTCACCAAAAAAGTACTGAATAAATGACCTTGCTTTTTCAATATATTTACAAAAATGTCACCAGATTAACAAAAATTCGTTTATCAGACAGATTAACTTGTATTTTCCCTAATTGTATGGTTTTGATCAATTCTTGGTCTATAACTAATACTTTCTCATATTAATCTGAGGAGCCCCTATTGATTTTGATTTTATGTGTTTCAATTTGTTTTCAAAATATTTTCTAAAAAAACTTATCTTGGATTACACCAAACATTGTACAAGTATTTTCAAAATTTAAAAAATATTTGGACCCTAATTGTCAAGTAGCAATCCACCCCAATAACAGGTTAACAACAGAGATAATTGGTTGCTTCTCTCAAAAATATATAGGAGAACATTACATTTAACTATTTAAGAATTCTTGATCAACCTATAAATTCCAGCATTAGTTATTGTCTAATTGAATAGTTAATAATATTCCCAAAATTATACATACTAAATTTAAAGCAAGAAGAAAACAATAATTCTAATAACACTGATTAAAGCAAGCCTATTGGACTAGAAATTAAGAAAGGCATCAAAACTACCCTTTCTCAACTATAATACATGTCATTTTTCTGTGTGTAGTATATGTTGGAGGATTCTTCTATGCTTATTAATACTAATATAGTAATTAAAATAATAATATAGCCTTATGTGGTGGGTAGGGGCTAATATAAAAGGTTAGGCTTCCTTAAAAGTGATTAGCAACATCATAATATTGTATTAATTAGAAGTATAGTATAACAACTAAAGAGATACTTTGTGTGACAACTACATACCCAAATGTAACACCTTAAAAATAAATAAAGAAAATAAAAAGGTAAGGAAATTAACGTTATTTTAAAGCAAAAATTTACAATTCCCTATTCAAATTAGAAGTTTTAAATAATTGGAAATAGTTGGAGAATCAGGTCCAAGCCTAAAAATTAGTATAAGGTGGTCATAATTAATAATTGTCTTAATATTCGCAATAATAATAAGATAATGTCATGTTGCAGTAATTGCCTCTATTTAAATATTCAACCGCATCTCCTCTTTCTTGCTTGGACTGGCTTAAATGTTGTTACCATATGTTGATCTTCAGATCTTGGCTTGTGGTAGATTGTTGAGACTTGTAGTTTGATTGGATTTTCCTTGTTGTGACTTGTGACTCTATGGCTAGTATTTCGGATCTTGCTACTAGGTGTGTTAGAGTTGAGATTGAGATTAAGGTTGAGATCGGGTTGTTCTCCTTTAGTTAGTAGTAACATTTTTCATAAATATCGAGAGTATATTTATCACTGTCACTTCATCAAGTGTACAATTGTTAGTTTTTTAACCAAGCTAAACTTGATCTAGTGGAAAGGAGAGAACCTTTCAACCACGAGGTTATAAATTTAATCCCCACTGATGACAATTTGGGTGTGGGATTTCCTTACCTTCCCCCACTCTCCCAAATTGTCTAGCCTGTTAACCTGGACTGAATTGACTTATGAGGGGTTTACTAAAAGAAGAATTTCGATCATATTCACGAGTTTCTTGAGTTTAGTTATGTTCAATTCACTAAAATTGGATTTAAGTTTAAATAGTACACAAGCCTAATAGACTCGTCATCATCCCTACTTTGCAAGAGAAATTTATAGGGTAAGCATTCATAAACGAGATTTAGTTTGACACTCTTCTTTGACAGTAAAATACATAAAACAGAATTTCTTAACCAAAGCGCCAAAATAATTTTTTGGAGTGCCAAGGTTATTTTCCAAAGATCCTATGAAGAACTACAATTCAACAAGTTGTACTTTGAAAAAGTGTTAAAATCAAAGGGTAAGATCGTCTTTTCCATCATAAATTCACAATCTTACAGCAATAAGACTGTACCCCAGAACCAAAAACAAAATGGCATCTTTGATTCTTGAAAAATGGGATTTGCCCCCAAAATATTTTATAAGAAAAAGAACAGAAATTTAAAGTGAAAAAGATAAGAAATTTCTCAAAAAAAAAAAAAAACACTAAAAATGTCACTACTACTAGTAGCAAGTAGCAAAATGATGAGTTAAATGAGAAGAGCATGGTTTCTTAACTTACTTTAATGGACATCAACTGTACTCACAGCTCCTTACTGTCTCTCTCCCTTTTCCTCTTTCTCTCTCCTCCTGATTACAAGGCATGCTCACTCTCTCTCTTCCTTTCTTTCATTATTTTCTCTCTCTAAAAATACACCCTTTTTCTGGGTAACACTTCATTATTGCTTATCTATATTCTTCTTCTGATTATTTGGAGCTTCATTTTCACTTTTATGGTCAAATAAATTTGATTGGTTCTTTCAAATGGGTTTTATTGCTTGAAGTTGAAGCGCTAATTGAAATTGGAAGAAAATGATTTGAAGTTTGTTGGGTTTGTACATTTCTTTGAGTTTACTACTGTGAGATCTGAAGTGGGGTATACCAAGTTTGTTAGAATCAAATTATAAGCCATTTAAATTTTCTGGCTTGAAATGCAAGTGTAATTAAAGGTAAAAAAATTTTGGTACTAATGTTTGCTTTATTGTAATTAAAGGTTTATTTGCCTCTTACTTGGGTGTTTTGTATATTGCAAGAAAATAAGAACCCTTAAAAATCAAATCTTTTTTGGTTAATTTTTGCCCTTAAATTTGAAGTTTGTGACTGTAAACCCAGATTAGTGTCTGCCATTTTCAGCAAAAATGGGTCTTTTCTTGGTTTCTCAGCAAATGGAGTGTATAATGGTACTTCTATTTTTTGTAGGACATTGATTGTATAATGTATTGTTTTCCTAGTTATGATTGGTTTTATAGGTTAATCATAAAAACCCTTGATTTTTGTAGTCTATTGGATGGAAATAGTTGCCTGATTTGTCATTTTGTGTGTGTATTGAGAGTCATATAGGGTAATGATGTAGACGGGATTTGATTTTAGGTCTCGGGGATGCAAATTAGAGGATCCATAATTACTCATTTTTCATACATTCCTAAGATAGAGATGTCTAGTTTATTTTGTTTCAATATATATGGTTATTTTGTGGCTGAAAACTTTGTTACTTAATGTTGATTGTGGAATGTTTTTTTTTTTTTTTAAATCTTTCGTGTTTACATATATATTGATTGTGTTGTATATTGTATTTTTTCTTGCAGAATTATAGATGCATCAATGGGTGTAAATATGGAATTGGAATTTGATAAATTCTGCAAAGTAGGTCGGAGCC